TCGAGTGCATACAGCAGGTGCCCCGCGGATACGGGCGCCCCGCTCGAACAATTCTCAACGGATTTACACTTCTCATAAACATGTGTTTTGTATGAGGCAGACAGACCGGCCCAAATATGGGCATCGGCCCTTTGGGCAATGCCCGGTACGCCCGATGGCCAGTCCAGCCCTGTGCACTGGCATCCTTGAGCTTGGACTACAAATTCGAAGTGATGCACAGTAGAGGAGGGCTGGGCCGAAGTGTTTTGTTAGACGCCCATGCCCTTATATAGCAGTCTCGCTGCAAATACTGTGACGTAATAATTCCAAACACGTAATAGAGAATGGCAAAATCAGAACGGGTTGAAAAATCTTACCTAAACAGAATATGAAGTGTTCTCTGCAACCCATGAAGAGACTGATTTCAACTTTTTTGCACTTCTAGAGACTCCAACTACACAACATAAGGCATTTAAGGCACAAAAAGTGGATTTTCATGATATGTCCCCTTTAAAACTACACACAAGTCAGACAAAGGAATATACTGTGCATAATGAGAGCGTAACAAGTAACAAGAGTGACACTTCATTGTGTTCTTTCCTTCACTAAGTTGCTCTTTAAAAAAAAAAAATGAAAATGTATTTATGCTGCACGTGCTATAATGCACCTGTGTGGTCCTGGGTGCATTGTGCTGTGACTGATATTAAATGTCATTACTGTGTTTTGACTTTTTTTTGGACATGTTTCTGTGCTGAAAAAGCTGAGGTGGGTTGAAACAAATCTCTCCTCCGTGCACTATCGTTGCCCCGGATCAACACAGCATTTCAACTCAGGTCAAAAAGCACAGGTCAACAGTGTATAAAGGTCTATAGACTGAGGTTTGGGAGCTGGGCCAGGTCTCAACCTCCTACTGCTCTTTTGCAGCCGAGCACACTCCTATTACCCAGAAGGCAGTAGCTTATCTCACCGCTTTCACCCCGACCCTCCCACCCCATGTCTCGCATCTGTCTTGAACAACATCACATGGGGGTCCTAAATCAGATCGGCAGACGATCTTAGACAGAGCCCCAATCCCGAGTCTCACCAACCATCAGGAAGCTTCAGCTGCTGTCAATAATCATATTTCACTTGCATCAGATAGCTGTGGGGAGGTCCTTGATGGTGAAAATCAAACAGTGTTATGGTTTGTAGAAAGACATGATGAAAGGAATCATCCAAAAAATGTATATTGTTTGGACTGTTTTTATACAAATCTTTTAGTGCTTTTTAGTTCTTGAATTCTGGTGTATAGTCTACATTTAAGTATTCTGACCAGGTTAAATTTAACTGCTTATGTGACACAACATATAATTTGAAAGATGTGTTTATTGTTATATTTAAGGTTTACTTTATTGTTCCAGTATGGAAATGCGTCCTCTGCATTTGACTAATCAGCAATGGTCAGGACTAAAGAAGGAGATATTTTTTTGGGCGGTGTGGGGAAACTTCCAGACGCTCAGGCTGTTTGGATATGTTCCAGTAAAATCGAAAAAGGGTGAGAAACACAAACAAAAGAAATGTCAAACTCAGGCCCGTGAGCCAAATCCAGCCAGTAAGACCCCTGAAATGATTTTCAATTATCATTATTACTGTATTTTGCAGCATTGATGTTAATTGAATACTATGGCATGTTATAAAATGTTACAGAAAAATAAAAATCAATTCAATTTTGCTTTAATATTTGGCCCAGTTGTGATTCAAACATAATAAATAATAATATCCAAACTACTAATACTAAAATAATGATAATAAACGTAAACCACTTTTATAATTCTGGCTCCAACCAGCTCTTATGTTTTTAAACTTGGCCCCTGACCAAAATGAGTTTGACACCCCCGAACTAAACCCTGAAAGCAAAACCATGAATTTGAGTTTTTTTCTGAAAGTGAGATATTGTTTCCAAAAAGTAAAGAGCGAGATAAGGTTGCTGCTGCCACTGTTATCTTGTTGCTGCTGTTCTGCATGAAAGACTCCTAAACAGCCTTCTCCATCTCATTTTGAGACACAAAGAGCGCAGAGATTTCCACCACCGATATAGGCCCTGAGATTGTGTTGCAAATACTATCTAGACATTTCGGGGTGCATCTAATAAATTAGAGCAGGCCCAATGGTGGTGGCTTGTCTCCACGCCATCAGTCCACATTTCCTTTTGATGAATAAATGATGAGTCTTGTGTTGTAGCTGTGGCACAACCCAATACCAGCGCCCAGACAATAACGTTATTCTCGTGCTCGCTGATGAAAGCTTTGTCTATTGTTAATAAATCATGCTGCAATCATTTCATTTTGATTAGTCCAAATTGTTGTTCATGGACCTCCGAGCGCTTGCTGGAAAATGCAGCTGGCAGCGTCTAATAAGAAATGAACAGCGCATGGGGCATTGGCGGCACCGGAGTGCATTTGTTCTGGGGCGACCATTACTGTCAAATTGCACTGAGAAATGATGGTGGGTATTAAGAGGAAGTATGTGTCAGAGTGGGTTCATGTGAGCAACGCCTCCGTGAGCATTAGCACCGTCTGGCCTCCTCGTACTTATTTTTCCAGTAAAAGTGCATCATTGGCTTAAAATGGAGAGGTCAACAGTGACAAGATTGAAGGAGGGTATAATTTTCCACAGACCGGTATAAGGCACACAAGAAACACACGGCCCAGTGACGAAATTGTGTTGTGGCTACTTTGTGACATCTCAAATGCTGTTTTCCATTTTGAGTTAGTAAATACTTTCGGAATTGTTCATTTCGATTCACGTACAGACTTCTTAAATTTAACACAAGTACCCAGAAAACTTTGAAATCGGTGGAGGCATTTGGCACCATCTTCCAAAGCTCTAGCCATCTTTTTTTTTCGATGTCACCTTATTATCACAGAGAGCATTTTTTTAACGTATGAGGTCAAAATGTGGACTTTTTGATCACTTTTACCTGGTTATATTTTGATATATTGGTTCTTTTCAGTGGTCCTGTCTGTTCAGTTGCCTGCCCCAATGTGTTTCACTTGCGTGTCCCTGTGTGTATTTTAACCCTGTGCTCCTCTCCTCTTGTTGGTCCATTGTGTTTTTGTTCCTGCTAAGTCTTGTTTTGAGTTTGACAGTCTTGCATTTTGAGTCCATCTTCTGTTTTCAGCACGCAACATATGATCTATAAATTAATGCTTTCTCCTGCATGTAAAATCCTAATCCTGTAAGACTTCTGTAGCCGAGTAAGGCAGGGCCTGGTCAGTACTGTGATGGGGGACCTCTAAGCACACCAGATGGAAAATTCTGTTGTTGTTGTGTCCTTTGTAAAACACTTCACCCACATTGCCTAGTATAAGTCTGGTGTGTATGTGTGTGTCGGAGGGACCCGATGGCACATACTGGTTGCTTCGCTTCTGTCAGTGTGCCCCAAGGCAGATGTGGCGGCTGTAGTAGTTTATTATCACGGTGTACGGAGTGAATGGAGAATGGTGTTTGAAAAAAGCACTATATAAAACCGAAGCATTATTATCATTATTAAAATTGCACAGTGCTCGGATACCCCAAGGATTCATTTGGTTAATGGTGTCTATGTTTTGTGGCTGATAATTCACTTAAAGGTCCTATATCACGTTTTTCTTCATGTTTCACACTCAACCCTCTGCACATGTGTTATAATAATGTGTGTGATACACCACACAACAATCAAAGCTTGTGAGATTAGAGCCATCTCTTGTGCAGAGGTGACGTCACCTCGACTCAAACGAGCTGATCCAGAGAAGAGTCTGCTCCTCTGTCTGTGAGCCCGCCTCCCCCTGCCCGCACGGTGACGTAGCATCACGCTTTTGTCGTTTATCACTGGTACATAGTAATTTCATACATAAACATACACTTTTTCCAACAATGACAATCCGTCACATCGAGTCCTATGTCCTCGATGCACAATCAGACCCTAGTTATTTAGTTTACAGAAGTATACAGCGAGTTAGCGTCACTACTTACAGATCGAGGGGGTCCGAGTTACGTCTTTTACCGTGGGAATAACGTGTTTCCAGATCAGCTTTTGAGTAAGTCCAGTTCCATTGTCCCTGTAGTTCTGGAACAGTCTCAGTGAAGTGTCGCAGATGAACCGGTATTATAATAGATCCATGAGATGAACAGATGAAAAAAGTCGAGCCGCTTTCTTCCTCTTAGGGCCAAATAGTGTGTCACATATTTACACCCATAACATACTTCATTCAAGTTGACGTGATCCTAACACTTTTAGTTTCTGACAAAAGCATAAAAACAGCAGCTCTATGTGGTGTCCGCGAGACCAGACCACAGACGCTGGACTCGGGAGCCGAGCCTGTGCGCTCTGATTCGCTGTTTTGATCCGTCAATCACCTCCCGCCGGCTTTTAATTTATTTTTATTTTTATTATTTTTGAAAACAAACAGCATACTAATTGTTTATTGTTTACCCCGTTTTGACAAAAGTATTTAAAAACTATTTTGAATACAAAGCAAACGGGGTCATGCGCGTCATCAGTGTGGTTTTCGTCACTGAAGTGGACCCGAGCGTTTCTGTGCCTCACGCTGGGGAAGGAGACAGATTGCTCTCTTACAAAAGATTGACAGAATCAATGAATAAACTACTGTGGGCTTGTGTATGAAGGCCAAATAGCACTGTAATCATGTTTAAAGCAGAGAAAAGTCAAAAACCGTGATATGGGCCCTTTAACTTTTGTATTTTGTCTTCCCTACTGTGGGACTAATAAAGGCAATAAACATTTCATTCATTTTCCTTTATACGTACATACATTACATCCATATCTATATCCTCTTTGCTCCTCTTTGGATGGTTATCTTCTACAATTCCAATGCCCTGAGGAAAAACTGAGAATTGCAGACTGCAGAAAGAAACCCAATGTCACTGCTAACCAGGGTGTTCAAAATCCTTGTTCTAAATATTGTGCCATTATGTGTGCATTTCCGTCTATACTGCATACATACGTGGCACACAATCTGACACTGGTGACTGTGTCAAAGTCACTCAAAGTCACTCATTGTTCGTGGACCGTGCTCTGACTCAGTGTCTGGAGGGTTCTCAAACGCACAAGACATTCTTCAGTCCGAACTAAACACATGTCTCACCACTTGTTTATAACTGGGTTTTATAAGAAATGCATGAGTGTCACCAGGCACTCTGTGGACACAAGTGCTGCTTACCTCCACCTGCTGACAGATCTGGATGAGTTTGGCCATTTGGTTCTCCAGCTCGCTGTTCCGCTTCACTAGATTGGTCAGGTTGTTCTCCAAGGTTTGCTGTTGAGAAGAGCAACATGATACTTATTAGGAATGTTAAAGGAAGACTTATTCTGCTCAATTGACTTTTTCTCTCTTGTTCAGGGCCATGTTCAAACATTGGTCCTGATCAAAGACAGACCTGTGTTTCCAAATTGGTTTTACTGCAAATGGCAAATACATTCTTGAATCTTTTGGATCCATTCACACTAATACTACAAACTTACTGTAAGGCAAACACATGTAACTCTGGCCCTTCTCCCTAAACGCTCCTGTCATAGGCCGGTAAAAGTGTGATGCCATTGTACCACAGCAAACATATTGCAATATATGTAAATAATGTAATTTCTCAAGTGATAGTACATTCTTTACAATATCTAGTCTGTATTTGCAGCCAGTAAACAACTCCTTCCTCTCGTGTTAGCGAAGGGAGTTTCAGGCAAAGCCATTTCTCACACCACCTTCTTTGACCATTTATCAAGCATTTTAGTAATTAGGTAGTTCACAAGACTTATCCAGGGGCCGACAACCTAGATTGAAAAACTGTTTCGAACTTTAAAATCGTCTATGATAAAGTTGACGTTGGCTGAATGACATGTTTACTATCTCACCAGCTACATTAGCAACTCAATTTTGTGCCACAATCAAAAACAAATGTGAGTGTATACAAAAACGGCAACAGCTGAATTCTAAATGTTCTGAGCTTTACAGCAAGGTAAAACATTCATATATTGGTAGAGCTGAAGTTGGCTGCATGACACTGTGAACTGGTGTCTATGATCTCAAAAGTCTACTGTGTGTAGGCAGAGGGCCAATTAACATGAAAAAGAGGGCCGCAGTTGACCCGTGGGCCTGAGTTTGGTCATGCTTGCCATATATGTTCTACTTATATAGTTTTGCATTCTAAAACATGAAATTACAATAAATTATCAGTCTCATTATCATTTGCAATGGACAAAAATAATGGAAGTCGAAGGATAGTGTTTGCCTAATACTCAACACCAAACTACATCCTGTGATTTAAACTCAGACTGATCACGTCCTTTCTTTCTGTGGCCTCTGGGTCAGTTAATGGCAATATGAAATCCTAGACAAATGACCGCACAGTCGCAAATGTGAGCAGATTTATTTGAATAATGCAGTGAAGCGTGATGAAAGCTGTTTCTGGTTGTGGAAGACTCATTAAGGACTCTGAAAAGTGAACTTGGAAAATGCTTTCAATTGGACCTGCATGTGTTAAAGCTAGGGGACCCTAACCCTACAAAAAAAATGTTTTGGTTCTAGTTGTGACATGGATGTATTTTTGGTCTCTGCCCCATATTTAGATCCGCTTTTTCAGACAGAACAGTGAAAAAGAGAGGGGCCACTTGACTCAGCCCAAAGCATCAAATAGTGACTCACGGGGCTCTTTCTTACAAGGAACAAAAAAAAAAAAATAACGTGTTTGCTGTGGTCTGATTTGTTCATAACATTTTGCTTATACAAGACTCTTTCTGTCGATACACACCATGGATTATTCATGCAGAAAAAAGTTGCGTACTAGCTCCAAGGACAAGGCAATCCAATTATATAACTTTTCCTTCCTGATGCCGTTTGACAGTTTCTATGCAGTTTTTGAAGTGATTGTTTTGTACATACATGTATCACCTGCTTTACATACAGTACAGATCCTTAATACAATTACATCAAAACCTGACCTACTCCACCCCACAAATAACGATCAAACAGTCGGTTACTGTCAGTGAAAAAAGAAACCATATACTAAAGCATAAAAAGCACTTTCGGACACGTCACAAGCAGATAAAAGACTGGAGCAGGCACACAGAGTCAGGAGTAGTGGGTGCGTTTGTGTGTGAAGCAAATCAACAATGGCTGTAATGACGTTCATCAAAAACAGCAGCAACAAAAACACAGCTGTGCAGACGAGAGGGGACAAAGAGGCAGAGAGTGCAAGGAGCGTGTTTGAAGTGGATCTACTCATGCAACTGAATGAGACAGGGCACCTGGAGAGGAATGTGACAGAGGCAACTTCAAATAGGAAATCTGGCATTATGTGTTGGAGGTATTATATTGTTCAGATTGTAAAGATTTGGCCAATTTCACTTTATATTATACTTTTGGATTCGTCTTTGTATTATGGACGTTAATTCCTTTTATGCATTCATACTCTGGGATAAACAGACAGCAATAATTAGACATATTTTTTCTGACAAAAAATGTTTCTGTGAGGAATTTGAATTGAATTTTTTAAACATTTGTATATTTTTGACCATGAGGCCTTGTACCATACATTGAGTATATGTTCAACATTATGACATTTAAATAGTCCCTCCCCTTGGCATAACTACAACCAGTGAGATTTTATGGTGTTAAACCAATGATAAGAGATGGGCCTCAAGGATTTTAAATAATTCCAACCAATCATAAAGTAGCAGGGATTAGCATGGGCGGGTCTAACCAGTGCTAGTCTTAAAAAAGTCTCTTTGCACAATTTAAAAAGTAAGTGACATGGACTTTAATTACAAATTAAGCCCATTACAAACAGCAGAGTGTGCATCTCCTGCTCTGTGTGAACATAAAAGTCAGACAAGTCTGCAACACAGCAGTATGTTGTATTTAAACACAGAAGAGTGTAGAAGCGCAGCAACTGTCAACTCAAAAGGGAACGCAGAAATCGCATTTCTTCACAAGGCACTACAAGCACGGATATTCTTACCATTTATTTATAGGCTAATGCACAGCTTATGTAAATATGGAAAAGTTAAACAAAAGCGTGGTGCAGCTACGCCAGAGGCTGTCTTAGATTGTAAGAATCTGATCAACCAGCTTTACAACTCAGTCAGAGGTGAAAAAACAAAATGAAGCATGTTGTGAATGTAGGAGGGTTTCTGCGAGTGAATAAGACATTCATCAGATTTAAATACATTGTACTGTACACTGAGTATGTGAAAGGTACTCTAGCCACAAAATGTAAACTCGAAGTCTGGCCTGCAGAAGTATACTAATGGACACAAGCAACAACATTATTTACTTTACTTTAATCTGGAAAAACTCTACAAGAGAATTCTTGGGATTCATTAAACTGGCCTGTAGGGGGTGATTGAGCAGAGGTGGGACAACTCTGTTTTTCTGTTTTTTTCTTGTCTGTCTTGGAGTCAAAAGGCTCTCATCCTGTGCCGTGTACGGTTGTTGTGACAGTCTTAATCAGGAGGGGGACACTCGATTCTAAGGGAGTACTAAAAAATATTTCCACCTCGCCCGCCTCATTCGAGTGATTTTTTTCAAAGTGCACTCCTTTATATGAGACCACAGTTGAAACACGGAAGCAACTCTTGTCTTTCTCTCTATTTGCGCGGTTACTACAAGCGTACACCGCACAAAAGATGGTATTTTGACAGCGCTTCTTCTTCTACTATATCTCCGTGTATATACCCGACAGACTGCACCGCCAGGGTACGTTACGTCCTGTCCCACGTTTGTTATTCGCGCTACTGCCCTGACGTCATATGAAACCCAAGAATATATTAGAATAGTGTTTATCTATTTTTATTTATTGAAATGTAGTACATAAAAAAATGGACCCCCGCCGAATTATAGCATGAAATATAGAAACAATATGGTATAGATACTATGAAAATGAAATCTCCCAGGGGTCTAAACCCTGTTGGCAGTGGAAGAGCTATGGGGAGGAGGCAGGTTGCTGTTGCTTGAAAGGGTTAGCACAGGAATGCAAGCCACTGTTTAAATGCAGCGGGCGAAGAAGAAGTGAAAAGCGATTGTCTGGGTAAAGTGAGAGTGGTGGAAGTATCCAGGGAACTCACCGCAGCACTTGTCTTTGAAGCCTCCAACACCGCCTCTGACACTCTGCCCGGACTCTGATAGGCCTACGGATACACAATCAACACCCAACATTAAAAACACGCTCTTGCAGAGGTTTAGCCACAACAGAACAAACTCCAGCCCTGAGGCACAGTCTGCTAACAAAATACTAGTCTTTATGCATTCAACAAAACGTGAAGCGTCTAATCCAACTAACCACGCTAATGCTCTGCTCAAAGACTAAACATCTAAAGTATGAGGAGCGCTGTGTAAATAATGTTTGCAATGAATTATGTAGGAGTTGTAATCACTCATTGGTCCAGGAGGAAATTTGTTGAATATAGAAATAGCTTGTTCTCATGGCAGCCGAGAAGTCTCTCAAATATTATAATTCAAATGTACCAATACAAGCAAATCCTACGCTTTTTTTATATGCTTTGTTTTGTCTGCCCCTCCTGCACATAAAGTGGGGCCCCTGAACCATGTCTCTGCATGTAACGTCTGGGTCTGATCCCTGTGTTTGCGATTACATCGGTGGAATTCAATCCGACCAATCAGCAACAGTGGGAGGCGGGTGTTGTAGTTAGATGTGGATGATGTCAAGAGTTTGCGTCGAACGGGCAGCTTGTAGTTTGGCAATGGCGAAGAATGCAATAGTAAAGTAATCTGGTCTGGTTCTATCAAGAAATTGAAGCCAGAGCAAGAGGAATGTTTATAAAATGTAATTGCTGGCAAAGATTGTGGCACTACTCCCCACGGGCTCCGTTAGCGGCAAAGAAGATGGCAAGGCTAAATGCTAAATGCTAACGACTCACTAGGGCGCATTACATACGTGACGGTAAACTCTGATCCAATCGTTTCACTCTGGAAAAGGAGTTAACCCCACCCACCTTATTACAGAGCTCAATGGAGCACCTCCAGACCTTAGTATGAAATGTAATTTGTACTATGGTGTGGTCTGACCAGGCTAGGACTGGACAAGACCCAGTATGAGGTCTTGACCAGCAGGGTTCCTGGGGCCATCAATAGACTGTTGAGGGAGTGGACTAACTGAGTGCTGACATCAACTATATTGTTTGTCTTTATAAGAGAAAACTGAAGGGAGTCTGCAGATATATTCATGGGTAGCAACGGCCTAGCAACCAAAAGGATTTTGCTGTTCATACTACTCACTAGCCGAAGCCGGATTCAGGGACGGAAGGCTTCTGATTGATCAGTTGATCTGGATTTACAAAGATGATATCAAAATCAAAAACACCAGGGTCATATGAAGCACACATGAACGTGTGACACAAACGGCTATAGGGGTTAACTTTTCAATGTAAGTGAATGGGAGCCAGACAAACTTTGTCCATGAGCTCTTCCCTGGCTTCATCGATCTAAATACAGTCTATAGCACACACACACACACACATGCATATCCAGACACACACACAAACACAGACGTACCCAATGCCTGTGAGGACAACGATGATGTTTCTGCAGTAGCAATGAGTCACAGCGCAGCTTTGATCTGACATCCCCAGGACCCGGTGCATATGGGGATGTCACTACTCTCACCTGCACGGGAACGCAGCGAGAGCTTTGGGCTTTGAAGCGGCATGCACCGGGTCGCGGGCAGATCTGTGAGTCAGCACCGCTCAGAGCACACTGTTCCCGCTCCAAGTCACTGACACAGCATCAGTCAAAATACAACAAAAATATGTTTATAGTAATTCTCTTTGGCGACTTGACGGCAATATATGCCATACATGTATTTATTAAACATGAGAAGAAGGATTCCTGGGGTCACTCACGCATCCCACTGGCTCACTGTTTGAATAGGGCTGCTCGAGGAGGACATAACAGGTAAATCTGTCTTTACCTATAAAATAAAGGAATATGGTTCAATTTTATATATATATATAATACATAATTTTATTTTTTTAATGACCAAAACAAAGCTCACGTGATGCCCCTGGAGAACATCTTCATAGAGATGACTTTGAGTTGAGTAAAGATACACATTTTAAATTTAATTCTGCAGTGAATATAGAATTATCAGAGTCAAACAACCTTTTTGCAGAAGTTTTAAGTCAATGCAAGGTTAAAATTCTCGCTACTTCATGAATCAATTAGTTGCGATTTACTTGTTTCAGCCCTAAATGAGGTGCATGTGTGAAAATGTCTTTAGGATGAAGTTTGAATGAATGGTGCAGCTTTGACTCAGCCGTTGATACTGTGCTGTTGCCTCTTGCCACTCTTTTGTGTGCGCGAGTATGAAGAGTAACATCAGTGCAAGAGGACAGATGGGTGATTAATTAGCAGCTGGAGATGAAACTGATTAATATATCCCGACACAGCTGCCTCCCAGGAGACTGAAGTGCCACACGTGTGTCCTTTTCATACGCACATCTATTTCATGTTGTCGCTTCAATATTTATTACCCAGACGGTTGGCTGTGGATACTAAATAGAGCTGGTCACTTGAATTCACGCTCCTGTGGCTTCAGACCCAGCGGGCACGAAAGCCGGAGCATAGAGAGACAATTTGCTAAAAAAATTTGCTTCTAACATGGCGACTATAGAAAGCAGGCCAAACGACGAGTGAACAGGAGAGAGTAGATTCTGGTGATGGGTCTAAAACGTGGCTCTAGAATGTATATTATTGTCCTGTATAATAAGTAGGCTTGTATGCATACAAGGCATAGGCTTGTATGCATACAAGACATAGGCTTGTATGCATACAGGTAAGATGTACAGTTTTGTTTAGTAGGATTTGTAGGATTTCATTTATTTCGTTTATTTGGTTGGAACAGTAATGAACAGTAATGTTAATGAAGATCTCACTCCGGATTGTAGCCTTGGGCTAATTCCCATCCGTTGTCTCACAGTCACAACCACACACTCATTCACCCTCATCTATTTTACATATTTTTTGTGGCACGGAAAAACCGGAGCACCCGGAGGAAACCTACACTAACACGGAGAGAACATGTAAACTCCACTCAGAAAGGCCCTGTTCTGACCAGGATTTGAACCCAGGACCTTCTCGCTGAGAAGCGAGAATGCCACTCAGCCACCATGTCGCCCAAATGTGATATGTGTATGCACATGTTGTATGTGTAAATATTTTTTCTGTTGCTGCAACAGACGGCTGTGTGCAGCTCTTAAAACTTCTAATTTTCTTAATTTTTTTATGTCCATTCTCAAAAACAAAAAACATAACTTTTTTCTAAAATAAAAAAAAAGGTTTGAATAATTTATTGTGCAATATAACAAAAAGTTAACTTTTTGTTATGGGCTATTTGGGCCTACACGGTGGCTGAGTGGATTGTTCTGGGTTCGAATCCTGGTCGGAATAGGGCCTTTCTGGGTGGAGATTATTATTATGGAGATTATGGAGATTCAGTGCCAAATAGTCTCAATAATGGAATCCTCTGATGAGACAATATGGAGTTATGCACTTTATCACGCTTAATAAAAAAATCAGGACAGCAAAAAGTCTTGTTTCGCTCCTTAGATAGTCCTTTTTAAACTTTACAAATACAGATACATTCCGGGACAGGAGAAGTTGCCTGCGATGAAAGCATCTGCTATAATTGGACAGGCATAAGCGATTTTGAAAACTGCAGAATATTCCATTGTGGTTATTGGTGTTTGCATATTTTATGTTATTTTAAAACAGTCCATCAACTCTCATCAACTTGCCATGAGAGTGCCACAAAATACATAAAAGAGCCTTGTTAAAACTGTCAGAAAGTCCATCTTTACTATATACTTACCATCTATAACATTTTGAATAACTCTATAAATTAATACTGATTATTGTCCCATTCTAATCTCATGACTTCTTTTGAGTCAAAGAGAATAGAGCTTTCTGAGACATAAAAAGATTGTCTGGCAAAATAATTAACTTTCACAGACACAACAGATTGCCTCCACCACAACATAGAAGCCTCAGGCCAAAACAAGTATTTACATTTTTTATTAATTGGTTATTACTATGCATGTGAACAAGCCCTTAACACTGTGGTGAAAAGGAGAGGGGATTAAACTTGAGAAAGGCCCATAGAACAAGCTCCGTTTACAGCTGCTGTTAACAAGACGCTTTTGAGAGCGGCGGACGTGTCAGTAACTGGAGCCTTCTGGGAAGCAGTTTTGTCTGTGCGTGCGGATGATATTCCACTGGGCACAAGTTTGGAGAGCAAGTGCAAAACAAACAGTGCAATGGTTGGCCCTGGCCCAATTAATGAGAGCCATAGAGAAGCTTACAACCACAGCACATCTCTTCCTCCCATTGCCAAAGACGCACTCCAAACATTATGCTTTCTCTGCTCTTATTGAACTAGGGCATGCGTAGCCTAAGAGATTTTACCTCTGTGTGTTTTCATATCATAAAATAGGACATCTTTGGGGAGAAATGCTGATTTCTGTCTTTACAAAGTAGACATTCAAGGTATGAATAAACTTGGGTGCCCTTCAAGCAACCACCAAAACGCATTACTTTCAAGGAAACCGAAAACAATGGGGAGACTGTGTGAATACAGATACTCTGGTTTGACCATGGTGATATTTGTTGAATGTAGAGTTGTATATGGAACAACTTTTTGTACTTCATTTTATAAATCTTTGAGAAGGGAAAACACTGGAAATTGGTATTTAAAGGGCAGAGTAGTATAATACTTTCGCTGAATTTAAACAATGTAATCTTTTGTTTGCCTTATTTTCAAAGTTTTACCTTAAATATCACAAACATATCTTAATTATTACTATCAGCTGACAGATATATATTGGGATTTTTTTTTCTCCAGTTTGCTTTTTAAACATAAGCCAAATCACAATTCCAACTATTAATCAAATCAGGCATTACAACATAGTTATTCACCACAGCATTTACATGAACTATTTACATGGTCTTTTTAATTTTTATTTATTTATTTTATTTTATTGTAGATGTACCCATGTGTATATGCATGTATGTATATATATATTTTTAAATTCCTCAAAATTATTGTTTGCTGATGTATTATCTGGGGCCCCTGGGTTGCTTCTGAATGACTGGTGCGTTATGGACAAATTTGCCTCAGCTAGCGATTAGCTTGTTTAAAACATTTTTTAAAACGACCACAAATCTGGTTTTACTCTAAACAATGAACCCAGAATGTATAATCATTAATCATTCATTCAGTTCTGGTTCTGGTTTAATCCAAGCAAACCAATATTCAATACAAGAATACCTCCATAAAATAAATAGTAAAAAAAAACAAAGATGAGTTTTTTAATAAAGCTTTGTATAAAAATAAAATAAATAATACACTGAATATCCTGTTATTCACATTTTCCTTTCTTGAGCCATTTCCCATAATAAACATGTTTACTTCTAAAATGACCTTGTTTCTGACCTGCACAATAAGCACGAGCACAAACCTATTTATTTCCAGAATCGAATCCACCTTGCATGCCTTGAAAAAAAAGAGTCTTTTTCCGTCAAACTTTGAAAAGATTATCCACAATAAAACCCACATCGGTTTGACCTTTATGTGTTAGCTTAGCGGGCGATGGAATTAAGACAACAACATATGTAGCGCGAAGACATGAACACAACAATAACTAACTTGTTATTAAAGCGTATCATTTCAGTTTGTGTTGTGAGCGTGCCGCGATGTTGGCTCTGAAGAGAATGTAATGCTATGGATTAGCTGGGAACCACAGAGCGGCGACGAGCGAGAGGCTGTGAAATGGATGAAGGGGCTTAAAGGATATTTCTGTGTTTTTAAATCAACCTTCAACTCCAACAACACCGGGTTGGAGTTGAAGGCAGTTTAGAATCACCGGGAACAAAAACAGAGTTACTCAGGATCACTGTAGCTTCCGATCGGCCAATTTATTCCTTCCTTCTGTTGTGCGGTAAAATAAGAGAACCTTTATTCGTCTCACAGTGGGGAAATGTTAATGTTGCAGCGCACACAGACAGGACTGTAGTAAGAGCACACACAATATACAATAAAGGTAGCTACTATGAATACATCAGTATATCTGTAT